GAGGTAAACGTATACTTCGCATGTTAATGAAGTTTATGAAGAGTTATTAAAATAAAGTTGATCAAAGTGAATGATTTTGCTTGCTATCAAGGATGCTGAAAGATAATCGAGAGAAGAGGTTTTTTCTTTAAAATGGATGTTTATCAAAGAAAAATAATTACAAACGTGAGAATTATCCATAAAAGAAGCAATTAAAGAAACTAATGGTACGAATAAGAGAAGCGTAATGACAAATTTTGATGGCTGCTGGAAATGTTTTCTGTTCTAAACAGTCCATGGCGTCATTTGTGTGGGTCTTACATGCATATATTCAGTGAGGTGGATGTAATTACATTCACTATGAAATTAGACGTTAATATCTGTTCCTGGAAGGATAGGGTTTATCCAAGTTTCTAAAATAGATGAAAGATTACTTTTGATTATAAACTCTCGTGATTGAGCTGCGTGGGTTGAGCACTATGTTATGGTAATCACAGAAAAAGCAGTGAGGTGCGCTGAGTTACGTTGCATATTTTGCTGTAAATGTAACATTTTCCAAGAGAAAGAGAAATATGCTTTTGAAGAACCTCAAAGTAATTTCACAGATCAATATTTTCCATAACATCTGGGAGTTTTCTGACAAGGAATACATTATATACCGGTATACTCTTACTGGCAGCTGAAGCAGACGTGTTTTCACATTCAAGTGATATCTTTGTCTGTATTCTAACGTGTTTTAATTATCCTACTGCACTTTTGTAAATAAGTTTAATTTGTCAAGTTTAAAAAATTTTTGAAAAAATATCAATGAGAAATAGTGAATAAGCATAAAGCCTTTATGATCCCGGTGTCAAAGACCATCGGTCGGGCGTCCGCAATCAAACGGCGATCATTTCCACACAGAACTATACTTTATACAGATACGACTTCTCCAATCAACAGATTGTATTGAGATCAGTAAAAAGGACAAAAAAATCGAGCAACTTGTCTTCTTTGCAGTTAAACTTAACGCTTTAAAGCCAAAATTGCTACAACACAACACAAAACAAAAATTCTGTAGCGTCTCTAGTTATTTTTTCCACTCGCTCTGTACGCAGACGTGAATGCAGTTGCATGTCTTTGAATCCTTATATCAGTTACCATCAAAGTCATGATGTATCTCTAGCTAACTTAAGTTGTAGTAAAGTAGGCACGTTGATGGCATAGTGGGCAGACTTCAGATTGTGGTAAAATGGGCAAATTGATGACATAGTGATCAGTTTTTTAGATTGTGATAAACAAGGCAAGTTGATGGCACATTGGTCAGACTTTATAGGCGTCCCCATCGTGGCATAAGCACTTGTGGATCCAGGATTTTTCCGGGGGATAAAAATACTGTTGTGCGAATGTTACCTTCGTTATCTCTCCGTTTTTTTAGAAGGAGACGGGATAGAAGAGGGCACATCTAGGGTTGAGGAATGGGTTCATGTCCAATGTGTAGAACTGCTTCTGATTAGCTATATGCACACTGCATGACTTGCTTTGTACCATATACCTTATGTGTTATTAAGTGAAGTGTCGAGGTCAGAGTGATTTTCTACAGTTTTTGTAGAGATTGTACATGTAAGAGGGTTTGGATAAAGTGGACAGGTCAGCTTGGTGAAAAAGTGGCACGGCCCTGTCCTTAATGCTAACAGGTTTAGAGATTGATGCCTCATCTACTTGCATAGCGTATGAAGACAGAATGTATATTAATGTCAGAAGGGGCCGTCAGTAGCTGTAATGGTTGACGGAATCCGCTATCAGCACTTCTCTCAGTCTTTGGCACTTATCCATATCGAGGACTTCAGATCTGTGCCAGGAAAAAGAACAAGGAAGTAAAGCTAACCTTATCAGTATTCTCACTGAGTCTAGTACGCGATCGTATAAACGGCTACTTGATGTATTAGATCTTGATTTCAACAGACAGGTTTGGCCCAGTTTCGTTTTTTGTCGTCTCCACTGCAGATTCAGAGAAGTGATGTTTCGCTTCTTACTTTTCACTTTTAGCCATTTCATGGATGTTGAACGAGCTTATAATATTAAGAGGAAAACGTTCAATTACCCTCCAAACTCCCAATGTGTTTTATCTTACTTATACATCGGTTTGTTGGAATTGAAACATCTGTTAGTAGCTTGTACCCTTGTACTCCTGTAGATAGCATTCCAGTATAAGAGACTTTCGTCATGGAGTTTTTGGACAAGGTCAGAGTAAAGATATTATTTAAAAAGAAAAAGGCAGGTAGAGCTGATATTTCTATTGTCTGACGTCTATGGAGATATCTCCTTTCCCTTTTGCAGTCTCTTTGCCGAGCTACTGTTATGCCAGAGGTATGAAGGGGAACTGAACTAAGTGTCGAGGTCACTGCGACGAGTCGCTGGCGTGCCAAAGTTGGGTCGATCTCGAAGGTTGATCGAGGTTCTGTAGCGCGTAACGCGCCGTCGGCCTCCCGAATCGTTGTGTTCGATCGCACGGTGCAGAAACTTAGCAGAAACTTAGCTCTTGGTATCTTGCTTATTGCTCAAATAGTTTATGAAAAAGGATTCCAATTTTAGGTTGCCAGAATCGTATTTGAAACACTAGGAAGGTTAGACTCTTATTTCAATGCCCCAGGTAGGACTGCATGCTTCACCAGCACAACAAACACAGTGATATACTATATCTGCGCCTCTCCAACTAACAACCCTAATGCTGCTAAGTAGACTTTGACTAGGTGACACCTAGGATAAATTACCTTTGAGAATATGGGACCGGTGCTTCAGATTATTGTTGCATTGAAAAATGGTAATTATCATAGAACGGAATTAAAGCGTAAGCCTATGTTTAATTCATTTGCTGAAGAGTAGATTCGATTTGATTTTCCTTTTTTCTTTTGAGATATTCGCAGCAAATTTATCTCAGAAAGAAATAATTAGATCATCGACTGATTCCCTATGATACTTTACTTTAATGAATCCCAGGAAATAAATCACTTTAAATGCATTGATTTATAGAATGCTTGATCTCGTCCTACTAGCCTGCCGCTACTAGGTCAGGACTTCTCAGTTTGTCCGTAATCTCAGAATAAATATTTAATATTCCCCACCTTTCATTGTCTCCTTTTTAAATTTCGTATTTATCTGTATATCACGTTGCGATGGCTTTCCTGTAAGTATACGGTGTAAGTTGATGCATCCAAGCACGGACATTCGTTGTGTTTACACTATAGCGGTACATGTACATTTTAGATATCTGTCAAACAATAGCTAGAAACTTGATTGTAGAAATACACACAGATATCTGATAAGGCCTTTGGTAGAGGTTATTTAATCACATTTTGTTTTGCGTGTGCTTGCATATTAAACGATTCTTGAACCGCTGTAGAATATGGTGATGCGAACTTGCTTTTAGAGTAATGGCTTGATAACTGCCATCTTTATCATTAACAGACAATCGTGGGCGAAAGCTGTGACAGACGTTTTCCATTATCAGTAAATGAACGGGCGAGGTGATAGTTTGATCAATGCTTTCTCATATTTATGACCGTGATTGCGGCAGCAGGCTGTGCAGCCGTCTGAATTCTGTGAGTTGTTACCAGTCAAGTACGTATAAATAAACAGAAAAAGAGAAACGGTGTCCCAGAAAGGGGGGGGGGGGGCATATATCGCAGCTTTTACAGCATAGACGCATCATTTGTTCACAGTCCTATTTTCAATTTATATAAATATGTAGTGACACTATATTGTTTGATGTGACACTGTTGTTCAATTACACATTTTAAAAAGATATCTAAACTGGTAATAAAAAGGCACTGAAGAGATGTCCTCTCATTTTCCTCGACTCTTGTATCTGAGAATGGTGGGGACTACTAGAAAACTGCTCTAGGGTAGCTACTAGTAAGTGTTGAGTAGCAGTGATGTTTAGATATTAAGCCATTTAAATGCAAAGAGAAGGGCATAATATGAAAAAGTGGCCTGTTGAAAATATAATACCGGATATTTGCATCTTCCGCGAGGGAACAGAGCTTTCATCTGAGACTAGTTTCATCCCAAAGTCGAGATGATTCCCAGTAACTCGCGATCGTCCAAACGCCAGGAGCAAGAAGCAGATGAAGAGATATTCCATACTGCGATGTATTGTTAATTATTAATTTTGCTAATATTTTTTTCGTAATTTGAAGTATTTCATTATTGTATTTACGTAATAAGACATGTTTCAGATATGGATAATTATATCGAGACATAATACATGTATTTAATACATAGAGAACAGTTATATCGTTAGTGATGTTCGGTTTTCTTATCCCCAAACAAACGTACAAATAAGATAATAGGGTTCGCGATTTAAAAATTAGTTTGTATGCGTCATAATGTACCTGTTATCTTTTACTTCCCATAAGCAAAGATGTCAGGTTTAATTTTTTTCCATGGGTTCTAACTTACAGCGAATGGAAAAACTTCATGGAAATGTTTCTCCTGTATGCGGAAGCGCAATTCGTAATTTTTAGTTTTTGTTTTGTCAGAAACTGTCTTAGGTTACATCTTTCATAACATGTCTCTCATAACAAGCGTTTCTCATACCGCAGAAATAAACTTTAAACTGTATAATATCTAGTAAGCCCTATTCCAGCCTGTGCTGCCGTTCTCTTTATTGTAAAAAAACTGTTAACATTAAATATGTTATTGCGCAGATATCACATATGATAAATTCTTTTGTGTCCGAGACATGTTTCTTTTGACCCCAAGGCTATGCTGTTTTTATTTTCTAACATTTTTTAACATTGTAATGGGTAAAGATTAAAAACCAATCTGCTGTAGGTGTCTTACGGATTTTCTGATTTTGAAGATGTAATTGTATAATGGAGTGGGATGCGAGAGCTCAATGCAATAGTAATACTCATGTCAAATTATCGTTTGTCGACAAAATTTCGAAATACAAGTCGTGTTTCTATCCATTTTTGTTTATTCAGTAAATTCGACAACTTATATGACACATATATACAATATGCTGTTTCTTTTAACAGGACGTTGGACTGAGCCTTCACCTCATACACGGTCAAACGTAAACAGCGCCAGGCTTGGTGACGGAGCAGACGTTCAAGAGCCAAGGACTCACGGCCACAGCAGAAACGCAGAAAGAGCTTTCGATAAAGTCGGAGTCAGTAACCGAAGTGTAGAGGTGTCGTTGACTGACCCAAACATTAAAACGTGCGTTTTAACGCCACCAGCAGACGGTGAGAGATACGGTGTTGTGCTGGATGACATAAACACAGCGCACCAAGCGACCAAGAAAACCAGGGAATTGCGTACCCTACAAGTGAAAGATTATAACAGCGACCCCGGAAGGATTTATACAACAAAAACACACTGTATCGACAAGGGGAAACTACTTAATACTTGTGAAGAACCAAATAATCTAGGATCGGAAAAGGGAAAACTTTCAGCTTCGAATGAGAAAAAAAGACTTAGCCATCGAAAAAACAAACGTGATAACGGTTTATTATTGACCAGGGACCATGAATCAAATAGGGATGCGGTCTTGTGTGAACTTCGAAGTATATTCGTAGACACTTCTATGTCATCAGACTTGCACAATATCATCATGGATATAAATCATGACAGGGCTGAATATTCTTCCTCTTCTCACAGCAGCAGCAGCAGCACGAGCAGCTCAGGTCACCGCCACTACTCCCATAAACTGTACAAAAACCACAGCTGGCACCCGGGTATGCCAGAGGACGGTTGTAACGGTTATCACCGTCCCAGACGTAATAAGCGTTACGCCAGCGTAGACAGTGCAGACGAGTACTCTGTTCTTAAAATATCAGACGTTGATTTTTACTACCGTGACGTCGATATCACGGGCCCGACCCCGGAAGTTCGATTTCCCTGGCAACGGGATATAGCAGTGCAGTGTGAGCTCATTCAAAAGAATAACAATAATGATGAAACCAATGTGAACAGGAACATAGTGTCCGGGCTTGGTGGTAGCAATGGCTGCTATAACGCTAATGACGGGGTCGGCACTGCGAACCGAAATGATCGAAGTCGCATTCATCGATCCAATTCTTCGGAAGGCAGGAGTGCAGATTTCATGCGCGCTGGAAAGACTGGACGCAAGCACGTGAGACCGCATTCTATCACTCTCCCCGAGGACTACCATCTCCCGGGCTTCAGCCCCGGTATCCCGCGGTGGAATTCGTATGATTTGAATGGACTGGGACTCCTGCCTCGCCAGTTTGCGGCAAGACACAGTATTCCAGAAGACCCAGAGGATATGGCCGGGTAAGGGACTCAGGTCTTTTCATTTTTTATATCCAGGTGCAATTACGTAGCGCTGCTAACCTTCTCTACTGAGAACATTATTAATTTATACATGTAGATAAGAATTATATAGATAATGCTCTCAACCACACACTCAAAAGAAAGGTCGTTGAAGTTACGTCCTCAAACACCGGTAAAGAACACAGCGCAATTCATGATTACGATTAGTTGAGATTTTCTGTTACAATGATAAAGCTGAATGGTACCTAAATATATATTACTTTTTTAATCTAGCATATGCCATCGTTGGACACTTGTAGAATTTTATTGTATTTTTTGTCGGTGTTTTGTTGACTTGAGTTTGTGCTTGGGAATGTAATGCAACAACCGATTCTTTCTTATCTCTGCATGTAAGTTCCTTCTTCCCACCACAGACAACGCACGGTGACTTCTTACCTATTGTTTTGGTTGTTTTTAAACTGTTATTCGTTCTAACTAGAAACGAAGCATCATTCCTATATTCAACAAAGGTAGGCGTATTTTTCAGGTTTTTATAGGTAACAGGTACATGCAGCGGGAGGGGGGGTCGCATAATTATTTACCGAATGTTTGATATAGTTTATAAAAAAGGTAAATATTAGCGTTTGCTTATCGAGTCCTCTTGAGTTTGGAAAGATGTGACGATAGATGCAGTGCTGACATAATCGTTTTTCAGTTAGGCAAATCTAGCTGATTCATTAAAGTTTTCCAGTGGTTTTCGAGCTGGTCATTTCGCTGATGATCACCAGAAAATGATGGCCCTAATGGTTGGTTGATTTCCATAAGAGAAAATCGATCCTAAAACCAGCGTAAACAAGATGATGTCAATTTAATGACGAAATGATCTGGAGACGGCATAAACGTGCACTCTATTCTCACTGCATGTCTGCAGAGAAGAAATACGCCGATTCCGAAACTAGATTTCATGCACACCTATGGCACTCTCTGCTTTGCTGGGCAAGGTCAGAATCTCTAGAGTTCATCTTTCATCTCTGATACGTGAGATACATTAATTGGCTGGTTCTGAACCAGATTGTTGGCAGCAGGCTGTCTGTTTTGTCCGGGATAGGTCAAACAGATTGTTTAGTGCCGATAGAAAGTGGTATTTTACAAGATGCCATTTAACTTAAAAGCATCGTGTTAGATCGAATGGCTCTTATCTACTGGACGCACCCGTACACTGGGCGTTGATTCCCCATCTTCCTGTCTTCTATCACAGCACCCTGTTAGCTAATTGAGTTCGGCACGTCAAGCGCGGATAGGTGAGCTAATCCGTGCGACTAGAAACCCAGGGTGGGGCCAAATAAAGAATCACTGAGACACTTCAGCATTTCCGCGGGATAGACACCCTTGATATCAGTCGTGAACTTAAACGTTATCGCATAGTGAAGTTATAATAACGGTATGACAAGGATGGTACATGTAGTTCTAAAATGGAAGTCCAGGGCTGCATATGATAAGTATAGGTTAGGGGTAGTCGAAAGTAGTGGGTAAATACATAGGGCGAATGTCACCTGTGCAGAGTAATAGGAAACGGACTTCGGTTTCTAGCAGACTACCATTCCTGTCACACCTGATCTCAACAGTCGAGACAGACAATTGCCTCAAATACGACGACATTTGTTCATTAAATTATCATCCACCAAAATGATTTTAAATCCTTCTTAAAAATAGATTGGCTCATTCAGTACATTTTTGACCAGAAGGAAGTGTTTTTGTATAAGGCCTATAGCAGTTGGGTTATCCTGGATTTAATATAGGCTGATGGGCAACTGAGCAGTTTTTTCGTGGCGTTAGCATAAAAACAGTTAGATTTATTAAATGAAAACAGAAGTATACAAAAATGAATAATCTATTTTCCCCACGAGTGGTACACAATAGCATTATATCCATGCCAAGGCAATCTCTCAAGTGAGTGTTTTCACTCTCTTAGGAGTTTTCACTAGTTCACCAGTTCACCAGCGACTTAATTCTAAGTGCTCTTGAAGACGCTAAGGAAAATTGTACTATACAGCGTCATATTTTAACTGGTTGTCACATGTTGAATTTAGGCAACGGGGTTATATTAGAGGAGGAAAAATGCTTTATTTCAAAGAGCTTCATAACTATTTTCATTTGATTATACATATATAACACTTCAGGTTTTAGCATAGCAGTCCAGTTATTCTCATACCATATTGGGTAATTTGGTTTGGATAAGTCACCATGTTGCTATGTGGATTGTAACACGATTTGGTAATACACTTTGCATCTTGTGATCGCAAGGTTTGGGTTTACGAATAATGACGACGGAGAGCAGCCACCAAAAGCAGCAGTGAACTATTTATTTTTCTATTGCAATTAAAAAAAACAGCAGTGAGCCTGTTCGATACCATGTATTAATCAGTGTGTATTTGTAGGACTGGACATAACATATCGGAGAGATCTCTAACACTACTGAACAGGGATTACAATGCAGCTTATTGAAGTGCCATATGCTCATACAGTGTAGAGCATGGTCGGCACCTTTCCTACCTTCGACCAGTTAAACAAGCAAAATGAATACCCTATAGCTTTGTTTATATTTACCGGTTTGTGAATCCATTGCATAATTGCAGTTGATCATGACGAGTTTTCAACGTGGAGTGGGATTTTTCTAAAATCATGCTTATCTTATCAAGGGAATGCAATGACGCCAGTGAAGAGGTGTTGGGCATCTTTTTTTTTTTTATTTTGACATATCTCGCATTAAGGCGAACAAACAAAATACAATTCCTTGCATTTCGACACAATAAACAAGTCAAATGCTGCAGTTCATATGCACCATACTTTATCATAACGGTTAGAGCTCAAACTGCAGTAATTCGAGCGCTGGGGAGCGACATTTACATGCAGCCTAGGTCCATGATGCGGTTTTATTTTGTAACTCCTTCATTCATACATCGATCGATAGCTCATAAGTTAAGCAATGGCTTTCAAAACATGGAGGTGGGTGTGTGTGCAGTGTTAATTTTTTTCTGGGAAGCAATAGGACGTTAGGTTGTGTATCTTTAAAAGAGACTCACTGGAGAATACTGGAAAACTGGCAGTCACAGCAACAAAGCCTCAGAAAGACATTATATATTGTTTGCCTTTCATCCCTACATACATGTGCACAGTGAATGACATGTATTACTAAAACACGACAGGAGAATTTGTATGAAATGAATTGACATTTATAATGAATTGTATTTCATATGTTATTATTAGTATGATACATTAACTTGTTCAAATGTCTTTAAACTTGATTTGGCTTGCCAAGAAAAAGACAAGTTTATATATATCTAGCCACCTTGGTCATATGGGCGCAATTGGAACGGAGACACCCAAGATTCTGAGTATGTAGTTACCCCGTGTTCATATAAATTTGTGTTTACATAAAAGAAAACAGTCAAGATTCACCTTAACGTACTACCTTATGCATGTGGTTAGCGAATGTTGGGATTACATGCACATGTAGGGTTGTTTGTCGCCTGTGCCCAATGCTAGATTGCAATCGGAATGTGAAACAACTTGGGGGTCAGCTTATTCCAAGATCGTCTTAAATTGTCTGAACATTTGGAGATCACTACAAATGTGCCCTACCGCAGTAGAATTGTCCTCTTCCATTCAGTAAACTCCTAGACCAGCCCCTATACTCGCCTTGCCTGCGACAATTCAAGAAGATGCTGAACAGCCTGATGTTCTTGCTCATTTATCAACATCTGACTGATAGTCTTAATCTAAATGACATTGCAATCGAGTTTGTTATTGGGAATAAGAGAAAGTTATCATGTTTTATTTGATGAGGTAAGCTTTTCTTGATTTAAAGGTTTAATCTTCATAACTAAAGTATTGGAAATCATTTGAATGTCGTTGGAAACCTAATTCAGATTATGTAGCTCTCAGAGCTTTTAATTTTAAAGGGAAATAAATTGAAGGGGAATATGTTTTTAATTCTTTTTTTATACATATACCAGATTGTCACAGGTATAAAAAAATTCTTGCTATAGTAATACACGTATTTACTCCGCCGCTTATATCGGCTAACCGAGACCCGAGTCAACCTATAGTGTAAGTCCAATTTTTTTTCCTGAATGATGAGCTACCACTTAAGATTTGCTTTCAACCCGCATGCCATTTTTTAAAAATACATACATAATCTAGATTTCAAAGCGCGGCTCGTATTCAGCTTTACTCTAAAGAAACAAAACAAACAAAACAAATTAATAAATATTCCAAGTTTGTGATTAAATGCCAAACCACTACCGGCTTTTAAAGTAATCGGCGACCAAAAGCAACATATTTCAAGCCACGTGTAAGTACTTCTTTTTTACGCCGCAAAAGGTGGATGGACGAACACCCACTTGTCAATGCAAATAAAACTTGTAAAGGCAGCAAGGTTTAAAGGGTAATGAAGGCCCCACCTTAAGGCCGACATTGAAAAAATGTGTATTCCATTATAAAGAGGAAACAGGAAAACTGAAAAAAGATGAATGTTTAGCTCATGTTTACATGGGTATTTATAGCATTCTTAGAAATTTTATGAACAAGTTAATTGTCCAGGTACTCCTCAAGAACCATGTTTTTGATGTCGAAATGGGAGGTCGTATACACGTGTTACCTACGTTTTAGCTACTGGGCGAAATCGGCCTTATTTTAAAAGGAAAAAATATAGAGATCAAATATACTGTTACCATGGTGAAGGCTTTGACGTCGGACATTTTAATAAGTTCAATTGATCCCCGCATTTTCTCATTAGTTCAGTATTAAATCACTTGTTCTGTGTTAATGCCATCTGCAATTATCGCAAACAGGTGTAAGGGTCTTGGCTCTTGTACACTCCAATGTAACCAGAGATTTGTGTGCTTGTGTGTTCAGTGCCTGCCAAAGTAAATTCTAAGAAGTTCTTAATTGTGTCCATTTTCAAATATTAAATTTTGTTCAGTTTCTTATAATTTACTAAACCGTGTTTATTTTACTCA